CCCCAGCTGCAAAGCAAGTGGTCCCCAGAAGATGCTGGGGGGATTTATTAGCCAAGGTAATGTAAGCAGCAGCCCATCATATTTATTGTGATAAATGGCACAATATCCAGAGCACTCCTTCGCTGGAGGATTCACCCAGGAGCTCATCTTTATTCAGACGCCACCGCGCCAGAGATGAGATTGTCTTTTCAGACGTGCTGAGCTGGTATCTCTGATAGGAAGACGAGGAACAAACCTTCCTGCATTGCATTTCAGTCCTATGCCTGAGGGGCGAGGACTTCCCAAGGAGCCCAGGTCCCAGGCTCTGCTTCCTTCACTGGCCCCAGACACCATGGGCACCTTGCAGCAGTCTCCCACAGCTGAAACACGGAGCTTTTGTAGAAGTCAGGCCCTGCTCGTAGGTTTGGCAGTACAAAATTCCTGCAGCTGAATGACCACAGGTGTCCAAAGACAAGATGGGGAGAGAGACAGTGATGCTATCACCTCTGCTGCCAGCTACTGTGCACCATGGACTCAAGTCCTTATCAGCCACCAGGGAATCCACGTGGGAGAGCGGCTTGCTGCAAATAAGTCCTCCTGTGCTGTTGAGATCTTTGGTGCATCTGAGAGTGACTGTGCTGCTGGCTGAGCAAAGGGGTTTTACTTTTCCCCAGCAGCAAACAACTCTGATACAATTCCTGATGGTGTAGTGGGTGGGAAGGGGGTCAGGGTTGGGCCATGAGGCCCCTTGCAGATGAGAGGTTGGAGCCTCCCTAGCAGGGTTGTCTCCTCCCACCCTTGCTGGGAAGGAGACAGTGCTGTTGACTCTGACAGCCTGAGACGAAACACAGACGATGCTGCAGTGGCATCCTCTTAGCTCCTTAATTGGCTCAGGTGGGTCAGTGATAAGTGGTCCCCACATGATGTATTTGTTTTACAGCAAATTTAACTAATGGCATTTGCATAAATGGGAATTAAGAGACAAAGAGCAAGAAGATGAATGTGAGGATTCAAATGGACTCTGGGAAGCTCTTCCTGGGGTTAGCACGAGTGATGGGGATGAGACGCTGGTGCGTACCTGCACATGGGCATGCAGCTGGTCCATTCTCACTGTGCCCTCTGGGTGTGGGTGGAGATTTTCAGACAAATATCCAGGATGATCAATTTGCAACCTTGGTGAAGCACCTGTGGGTGCCTCTAGCTCAAGCGCAGTAATGGGGTGCAGTTTGATGCGGGGGCCAAAGAAGCTGAAGCACCAAATGAAGGTGCCTGCAAGGGCTGGCAGAGGACCTGGATCGGTGTGAAATACATGTTGTGGCCGTGGTGTGTGTGGGTCCACACCTCTGAGGGGACCCTGGGGAGGAGAGATCATCCCTGCTCCTGGGCCACCTTTAACCGGGTATGTGCTGGGTGATATTCTGCTCCTCTGGCATTTCCCACCCTCCAGACAGCCTCCTGCCAGGATCTCTGGTATGTCTGTGGGAGTGTTGCAACCCCTCCATCCTCCCTTCTCCCTCAGGTCTCCAGCAGCTGTGACTATGTCTTCGTCAGCGGGAAGGAGTCACGGGGCTCCATGAGTGCCCGGGTCACATTCACATACGAGCACCTCTCTGCCCCGCTGGAGATGACGGTGTGGGTGCCCAAACTGCCACTGCACATCGAGCTCTCGGACACCCGGTTGAGCCAAGTGAAGGGCTGGAGGGTGCCCATCCTGCTGGACAGGAGGTGGGTGCTGTGGAGCCACTGTGCTTGGGGTCTGTCCAGCCTGGAGAAGGCAAGGTGGAGGTGGTGGTAGTGGTCTAATTGTCTTGTTCAGCTACTTAGTGAGGGGGTTTTAAAGATGATGGAGCCAGAGTCATCTCAGGGGTGCTCAGTAAGAAGGGGAGAGATCATGGGCACAGGTTGCACATTTGTATGGAAGGAGGAAAATGTCACAATGAGGTTGGTCAAATGTTGGAGCTGACGGGGACCATCCATCCTTGGCGATAGTCAAAACTTCCCTGGATGAGGCCAGGAGCAGCCAAGCTCCAAAGTTAGCCCTGCTTTGAGGTCTAGAGACCTCGAGGTGTCCATCCCAACCTGAGATATCTCGTCCTCTCAGCTGGTTAGGGGACAGAGATGCTGGTGACCCTGTTACCATGTGTTGCTAAAGCCCTCAGAGATCTCATGGGCAACAGGCGTCTTTTGGCCAGGAGACACCAATTTTTTGGTGACCTTGCTTTTCTCCCTGCCCGGTCCTCCCTTTCCTTTCCTGAGGGGGCTGAGAGCCGTGGCAGTGGGGAGCTTAGTAGCACTGGCCACCCACTGCCCTATCCCGCAGGTTAGTGCGGGACAGCGAGCACGAGGAGGATGAAGAGGAGCGGAAGCAGAGCCGTGGCTGTGCCCTGCAGTACCAGCATGCCACGCTGCAGGTCTTCACCCAGTTCCACACCACAGCGGCGGAGGGCACGGGGCAGGTGGTCACCATGCTGGGGCCCGACTGGCTAGTGGAGGTCACCGACCTGGTCAGCGACTTCATGCGCGTGGACGACCCGCGGGTGGCCCATATGGTGGACAGCTTCACGCTGGCTGGGAGGGAGCCGGGCACCACGCTCTTCAAAGTACCCCCCCGGCCGCCTTTCTCCACCCCCGCCCG